AATGTCATGGCTGGAACAAATACTGTAAACTGAAATACACCATTTGATGCGCACATACAGCATGACTCCTCACAGATGCTTTTCAGTTTTTTTCTTTGTTCTGTTTTAAAGGTCCTACCAGATCGAAGCCATCCAAAACTGACAATGAGCGGAGGTGGAGGGTACCTTCTATCTGGTATAACTGTTGTGCTGGATAAGGGCAAATCTGATTCCGGTAATTTAGAAGCATTGAAGATGGAAGAGCCGTCATCTAAAAGATGTAAAGTTCAAGACCTTTGCTGTTAACAGTGGGAGAATTGATTTGTTTTTCAGATCTCAGGAGATACGTGGTTAGTAAAATAACAGGTAATTTTCTGTGCTCTTGACAGCACAGAAATAGTGTCTGTCATACATCAGTCAATGAAAAGCAGAATTATGTGGTAGGGAGAACTGTCTCTCCATACCAGTTTACATGGTCAGAATGAGAAGATAAACTGGTGGAAGCAAACCTGTGTCAGACATCACGCTGAAAGCACATGAACCTCAAAGAAATGACCTGATGGTCAGGCTGAGAAGTTAATGTGGACATGAGTGCTTTCACTGATGCTTTGTCTTTTCTTGTTTGTTGCCAAAACTGGATATGATTACATAGTTTTTAAAACATGAATCTGAATTAACACAAGTAATTTTGCTTCTGATTTTCCTAGAACAAAATCAGGGTAAAACGTTCTGTGTAGTGATCTGCTCCCTCTTTAGACACTGAGTCCTGCAGTGTTGAGTAATCTAAGGAAGCAGCATAAGCAGCAAAAATTATTCATACAAAAAAGTATTTTTCTTTCCAAAGGAGCAATAAAAAGAGAACATTGATTCCTGAACTTTATATAATGACTCAGTGTTTCCTGAAATAAATACAGGGGAAAGCATATGTTAGTAAATTAAATACCAAACACTTAACCAATATCTTTGTTAGTGTTACCTGTCATTTTCCTGGTAGTTGTTCTGTGTTTAAGATGTGACCATTTTGAAAACTGCCATGTGTATATATATTTATTTTACAGTTTTATTCTTTCATAATGTGTAGCTTTTTTTTTTTTACCTTTGCATTTGGCATTGTAATTAAACTGTGGGATATTTTTCCTAATGAGATTTATTTTCTTATTTCTCAAAAGAGGGAAAATTACAGTCTAGTTAAGGTCTAGCAGAGGTTTTGTGGAAAGAATACCTTTGGTGCTGAACCGCTGGTTGGGAGCCCTAGGTGCACGTGGGAACTCAGAGCCAGCAGGATTGGGCTTCCTTTCTTCAACTTCAGCTTGACTGGAATTTGGAGCTTTGGGGTCAAGTGATTAGACTTCATAAAGATGTAAAATTCTCCATATTAATAAGAATGCTCTTTTAGGAGACTATTAGCTCAAAATAAAAATGGGTTATATTTTGTGTAAAGCAGCTACAGTTTTCCTGAGTGAATAATTAGAGTGTACCTATCTTCAACTTTTTTTTTTTCCCTCTTTTCATTAAAAAAGATCTTATTACTTGTATAGAAAAATTCAGAAGACTGTGGAGTCCATCCTCTCTTCTATATCCTCACTGCTGTGCATACATAATCTGTTGTACTTTGCCCTTATTACCTTTTAATACAGTTTAAGTATTTTAAATCATACATATGGAATAGAAATCTGATGTATGGCTTTTAGTAACTGTGATTTTTTTTTTTAACTGCTTTTCTTAACTTTTTTTTCCAAGAATTTTTAGGGGAGTAGGTTGGAAAAGTTCTCCTTTACAGCTGCATGTGCATGCTGAAGGTGAATTGGGACTTTGAAGCCAACATCTGTTGTGTGACAAAACTGTAAGCCAGTCTATTTAAGGATTGGAGCCTAAAAGCTAGTGAAAGGCAGGAAAACTATGAAATGGCTGTAAGGCAGGAGGTAAAAAAAGCACCCCCAAAAAAGTTTAAAAACTGCTAGAGTTTTCTTACCTGTAAAGCAGCCATAGGTACTCCTCCCTCTGCCACCTGCACTGAGCTGGTGGGGGGGTCACAGAACTGCAACAGTTGCACAGTAAGAGTTGGGGCTAAGCAGTACCTTATGTTTTAAATCCCACTTGTTATCATGTATAACCTGACAAATTAATAACTTGAAGAAAATTCTGTTGGATATTTTGTTTTTATAATTTAAAAAAAATAATTTTTTTGAGGAAAAATATTTAAATAGCTGGAAACCTAGTACAGATCAAAGACAAGCTGACTTCATTTCACATGCATTACCAGTATCAAATAATGTCCTGCATTTTCAAAGTATGCTGTAATGCTTGTAACACTGAAACATAATAAGAAACCAGGTATCAAGCACTTCATGTAAAATATTTCAAATTATTAATTTCACACTGATGAAACATATTCCTTATATTACTGTGGCACAGCCCATCTCGATGTAACCTTCCCAGTTCAGTTGAAACACAATTATCATCCTAAAAACTATAATGGAAAGAGAAAGGTTGAAATGCAAGTAATGATTGACTGAAACTCTAGGAAGCCTTTTTAAAAGTAACAAAGTAAAGAAAATTTGGAACAAATCAGAATGAGTTTATCCTGTAAAGTCTTTAACAAATTAGAAAGAAAAAAAACCATGAAAAGGAACATTTCAAAGACAAAAGGAGAGGTAGAGAAAAAATGAAGGTGACAGTTGAATACCTGTATGTACAACTTAGAAACGTAACTGTTGCTAGATTCAAGAGATTCCATTTCTGGAGGTGCAGAACATAAACCACTCTAAATTAGTTTTGTAGTGTGACTTGTAAAGAATGAGGAAAGGTCAGGGATACTAAACCAAAGATGGCTTGCTTAAAGCAGCCCACTAAGTTCTGCAGAAGACATCCTTTAGATGAGGTAGAGAACTTGGCTTGCACAGACTGCCTGATAAGGGCAACTTCCATCACTGTCTTCTGTGCTCTACAAATATCCATTGCTGAGGTGCCAGATTGTGTTCACTGCTCTGTGCGTTAAGCAGAACCGTCCGTCTTGGCTGTGGTTACATTCAGCTTAGCCAAACGGGGGCAGCTTGTTTTGGTGTCTGGAAATCAGGGGATTTTGTGTATCTGCCTGCATTTTTATCTCATAAAGTACTCACCTCAGCTGAACTCTGCACAATGAAAGTGACAAAGGAGAACTAGGTGCTGTTCACACCTTTCAGCTTTTCTCTAACAGTTGGAAGTGTCCAGTCTCAAAAAGCAACTGAAGTTCTCAAGCCTCAGCTTCTATGATACAACAAGAAAATCTGACAGGGTCAGGACCTGGTCTGGTAAAGGTATCACTGCCACAAGACCAGGTAGCTGCTTTTACTTTTATCTTCAATCACAGGACTGCTTTCTCCGTGTAAATTTGCTGAAAATATGAACAGATTGAAAGTAGCAGTCACCAAGTTTTCCATTGCTGTGTTTTACTGGAAGTACACATCAAAATTTACTATTTCCCACGGGTACACACAGCAGGAGCTGGAAACACTCAGAAACCAAAGCCACTTAGTTCTGCTTCATTTGATATGGAACACATTTCTGCATCTTACTAATACTCGTTTAAAGGTCTATCATTCAGCCTCAAAGCCAAAAACATACAACAGACCTTTTTGAAAATGCAAATTAATATAAATGGTATCAGAGGGCTGTTTAAAAAAGTATTCTAGCATTACTCATCAAAGTCTTGAAGAGGCAGTGCAAATGCATAGGTAAAAATGGAACAGGCAGAAGCAGCCTGAACAGCTGTTTGACTCTCAGTGCTTGCAGTGGTGTCAGGCCCACATCATAAGTTTTTAAGCAAAACATGGCTGATTCATGAATGTATGTTTGTATAAGCTGAGCTTTTTTAAAAAAATAATCATTTACAAGAATTACACACTTGCACAACTTTAGAAAGCTTTCTGTGTTACAACTAAAGTTATTTACTTCTAAGTACGCACAGACACGTTTTCTTTTGCGTGCACAGATAGGTTTGTTTTCCTTTGCACCAGCTCAGGAAAAAAAAAAAATTGCAAAATTTACTGTATTTACTGTACTGTAAATTTTTTAAGAGAGTCTTGGATATTGAAAACAACAAAGTATTTCTGCAGCTGGGACACATTCTAACTTTCCTTACTGTTGTTGGAAATGCCTCCTGAAATCAGTGTCCTACTGAAGTCAAACTATGAAGTCAAAACTAGCACCTTCTCTAAGGTTGCAGTCTTCCTATATCTTAACAAAACAAAATTAAACATTTGAGAGCACTTACCAAAATCCCTGGGCACAGACATGCTCAGACAGTTCACAGATCAGCATCTCACCGAATATTTTCACTGCATTTTACTGCATTTTCACCTTACCATTAAATGGAGAGCGTGTCTGTGTTTTAGTGAGCAGGTGGATTAAATGGGTTAAGGTAGGAGGAGAGAGACTGCGCATTTACTGATAATGTTGCTCAGCTGAATTCTCTGTATAGCACCTCTTGCATCTGGTGTTACACAAGCAACTGATACAAAAGCACTGTCACAGCAGAAAGTCTGCAGAAAGAAAAAAAAAGCACATTAGGATGAGTTAAATTGAACCCCAGGTATCTGGAGTAATTAAAGCTAATTATGGTATTGTTTCTGCTTCATACTGACACGCGATTGCCAAACTATTCCTTTCACACAGTATTTGTTGTTCTGTGTAATAAACTGTACAGGATATATCCTGCTCTCACTTTACTGCTACTGAGGTACTCACATGGTGCAAAATTAGCACCAGCTTCTTCCATGTTCTGTGTGGTGTTGCAACCTTTTTGTTTCTTTAATGACTAATTTACAGAACTAAGGTATTCACAGGACATTTCTGAGGTACTACAGCAAATTTGTCGGGGTTCTTCCTTACCTTTCATGCTCCTCCTAACTGGCGAATAAAAAGAATGGGCAGACTCCCTGTAAATTTTAAAAATGATAGTGAACATTCTGCACACAACCTATTCACCTCATAGAGCTTAGGCAGAAATAACCCAGTGAGCCAAATAAACAAGGAGGAAGTTTGCTCCAAAATCAATGATTTTTATTATTTCAAACTCAGACATATATTTCTGAAGAACACTAACACAATTATTTCCACAAGCAATATTAAAAATATCTGCCTTGCATGAAACGTTATAATATTAAAATTCACACTATTCAAATTTCAATAGCAAAATAGCAAATTAAAGACATTTCCAGCTTTATAAATCACTACACTATAGTGGACAGTAAATAGTATTTCTTGTTTTTAGGGCAAACAACTATCCAGTGGCAGTGAATTTACCACAAAAATACAGGTATTGTGAGTACAGCTACACCTAGCTTTGAAACACCAAAGCAGATCATCTTCAGCCTCTCCTGTTGTCATTAAATGTCTCAGCTATTTTCTGCAGCTCCAAATCCATAGCAGCCAGGTTTTCCAGCTCTTTTGCCTGTGAAAACAAAGAGAACATTTAACAGATTAATTAATTAATAATTAATATTAGCAAATGATTTGTTGAAAACTAGAGACAAAAGTAGTTTCTCTGAGAACTATCTCCTGCTGTATACAGGTCCTAGACATGCTGTGGGGCAGGGAAGTGAGTGGTAGTACAGCACCTGCTTCATGGATTGGGGGAAATTTCATGCTTTTAACTGAGTTAGTGCTGGGGAGAGTATAAAGCTACTCTTTTTGAGAGCTGGACTGAGATACAATTTGATCTTTTCAGCTATAAAAAGCATTATCTAGTCGCAACTTCCTGCCACCTCACAGCTGCCGCTCCTAGAAGCATGAAGTCACATCTTTCTCAGTGAAACTCCCTCAGTCCTTAGGAGACCACAACCTTATGCTCAAAGTGGTTCTGGCTTACGGCGCACAGCAAGCATGGTGTGCAGTAGATGGAAATGTTCCAAATTGCCAGATTGTAAGGGAATAACAGTTATGCAGTCAGTTATTGTGATAACTTGTAAACATGGTTAAACTACATAAATTCCTGTCAAATCTCCACTGCTCTCAGTCCAGTCCAGCTTTGTGCAATAGATACAGTGACGTACAAGACGAGCAGCTTGCTGATGGGTACAGCCTCAGTTTTCCTGAACGCTGAAGCAGAACACCCAACAAGAAAGAAATTCCCATACATGGGAACTACATGACTGATCAAGCACGTGAATTTGAGCCCAGATCTGCTCTGCAATTACAGACAGGACATCAACCCCACGGACAGCTGAATCTCAATAAATGTAAAACTTACTTTCCAGCTGCATGAGTTAAACATCCCAACACACCAACTGGTGCCTGCTTAATTACTCCCTGCTCCTGTTGCAATGGGCATCTTTAATTCTGTAAAGATACTAGATGAAAGGAAGAATTTCCTTTCTCTCCCTGTCTTGAAGCAGACAGAAGCTAATGAGGATGTGCATTGTCTTTATTTTATAAACTGTGCCCCAGGGTAGCTCCACTAAATTCATTCTAAGACAGCAACATTTTTAAGTCGGTGAAGATCTGGCTTTTAGAGTGACTTAATCTTCTTTGTTTTTTTGCCACTCGCAGTTAACCAGCCATCTTGGGAATGGATTTAGAAGCGTGTAAAATCAGCTTCCACTGCCTTTTCCAAGAAACATTTGTACACATACCTCCTCCTCTGTCAGAGGTCTCTGGCTCAGAGTTCCTTTGTCATTCCTGATTACGTGACGTTTCTTCATGTCTTCTCCAGAATTGTACAATTCCAGGAATTCAGCCGATTTCTTCCTGTAATTCAGAAGCTGTGTGAGTTGATCCATCTTGTCGTATTGCCTTTTCATATCATATCTGTTCCTTTTGCTAAGATTCCTTTTCTCAGAGCGCCCACGGTTCAGAGCGCTCAGGAGCTGCTTTTTATCCCACCAGTCATAGTCGCTGTATTCAGGGAAAAGATTCTTCTCACTCAAGGTGGGCCTGCTTTCCTCTTTACTCTCTGGAAGCCTCTCTCCTGCACTGTTCCTTTTCTCAAAGTGCCGGCTCTTCCACCACAGAAGTGGGTATAGAGGGCTGTAGGGTGCTGTGGTTCTCTTCTCATTCTCTGCAGGGAGATGGCTTCTGTACTCTTCCTTCTCTGCATATCCTTGCTCCATATTCTCTTCATTTTCTATCTGGTCACTGCTGTAATGTTTCTTTTCTACTTCCTCTTCCTCCTCATCACTGTTACCAGGGTAGTGCTGCTGCTCTACGTTGTCCTCAGTGTTGTGGTGTGTTCTGGCCTGCCCTTTGTGCTCTTGAGTGTATTCTTTCAGTGTCCCTTCACCTTCATCGTCCCACAAGCGGTGCCTTCCTCCACCATGATGCTGCTTCTCCTTGCTGCTGTCACTGTGAAACCTGTCCAGCTCTTCCTCACTTTCATCGCCACGATACGCCCTTCCCTCAGAACGGTGTCTCCACTCCTCGTGCCATTTCTCATTACTTTCTTCACTGTTGTGATGCCTCTTATTTTCCTCTTGGCTCTTCTCTTCCTTCTGCTGCCACCTCTCCCTGTACTCCACACTTCCCTGGCCCACACGCCTCTTCTCCTCCATACCTTCAGACCCATGCCTCCCACGATAACCACTCTTCTCTTCATGCTGCTGCTCAGATTCTTCATAGTGGTGTTTCTGATGGTTGTTCTTTTTGTCCCAGAGATGAGACTCCTCTACGTTTGATTCCTCAGCTAGTTCCTCTTTCTCACCCCCACGGCCTCTATTCTCTTCAGAGGAATCACCCATTCTGTGTTTCCCATGATACCGTTTTGGTTTGTAGGACTTTTTTTCTTCCTCCACTTCTTCATTCTCATCAGATTCTTCATGCTCATTACGCTGGGAGAAATCACGTCCCTTAGACTCATTCAGGTGGTATTTTTCACTTCTTTCTTCCTCTGCCTCTTCTTCCTCGCCTTCATGAATTCTTTTGTAAGGGCTTTGCATTCCCTCCTCTGAATGCCAGTGATCCATGGGGGGATGATCATTCTCCTCAGCAACCTCCTCTGTGCTCACGCCTGCAGAGTGGGACTTCTTGTTGAGAACAGCGTGGTCTACTTCTCCATCACTTTGCTTGCTCTCTTTGCTTTCTTCTTCACTGTGGTAGCTGTTCTCCTCTCTTCTGATTTCCTGATAGAGGTTTTTTTCTTCTGTATGAAGTTTCTCTTCACGAACAGGTATGCGCTGTCCCTCCTCATCTTCCTTGCTGTTACCTTCCCCAGGATGAAGCTTCTCTTCATCACTTCCTTTCACGTGCTTTTTAGAGTCACCTTCTGCCTGATTCTGTTCCCTCTCCACACTTTCAGAGTGTGGGTTTTCAAACTCAGGTGGCTCTTTCAAATGCCTCACTTCAAGCTGTTTGTCTTCACTTCTCTCTCTATCAGTTTTACCACCTACAACAAAAAAAGCAGCCTAATGAAGAAAATTAACTCTCCAGTGAAATGCTGTTTCAGTTTACATACATAACTGGCTCCTGAAAGTAGCAAGATTTGGAAAGAACTGATTTAAGTTCTGCTCTTAATAATTGTTATTTTCATCTATTTTGTACGTTTGCCTGAAAACATGAATTATTTCTCATTTTAAAAGTCTCATAGAGATTTCCAGAATCGCTTTTCTTCTTTGGCCCTTTTGTTTATTTGTGATGGCATTTTTAGAATTAAACTGACTCTCACTCCCACTAAGAACCAATGACATCTGGAATTCTTTGAATGTCAGGTCATAGCTATTGCATTCGTTTACTGACAAAAAAAGACATTTATTTCAAGCTGCAAAAATATATATGAGGAGTAGTAAAAATAGGCTTTTAGCAAATGTAAGACTAAACTGATTGCACATAAATAAACTCGTTATTTTGCAATTATTATGTTTAATCAAATCACGCACCTTCTATTACTTTGAAAATCCTAAACAAGTCTGACCGACTACAACAGTAAGAGTATATTTCTATGAAGGCATTTCCAGCTCACTTGAGCCTCAGTAACATCAGAAACAGATCGCAAATTCTAAAAAGGGTTCAGACAACAGCTACACAAACTTAAAAATAGCTTATTCTTTGCAAAATGCTTCTCGTTATCTGATATTCTTGGAGAATATTTGTATAATGATAAAAACATGATTCTTATTCTCTCCTTTCAATGAGCGATTTTCTGTAAGTAGACAGGTTTATCAGAAACAAGCACTGCCATGTGACATTCAGTGACATTCAGTGACATTCAGCATCAAGTAGAAACTTGGGGTTTAGACAGGTATCGATAGATGTGTTCCTAAAGCTCAAAACCCATTCTTTTCTGATAAATGTATTAGAGCCACACAGTATTTCCTCCATAAACAAGCATGAGACAGATGAGTTTCATTACTGCTTCTTGCTGGCAGGTAAGTTCAAGGAGCCTTTTTATTGTAGTCAAATAAACATATACTGGGCAGAAAAAATACATGCATTTTGCAGTTTGGCACACTGTCAACCATATCTCACATGCAGGCTTATACCTCTGCACTAAGGCAGCTGCAGGAACAAGTTCAGCAGAAATTAGGGTTCCCAAAGGGAGTATTCAGCATATGTCTCCAGACCTCTGGAATCACCATAACAAACTTAATTGCATCTGGGCTGGTTACAGCCCGAGTGAGAGTCCCTCTGCTGAGCTGGGCACAAATTCAGTTGCCACTGGGCACCTTGTTGATTTAAAATGAGATTAGCTGAAGCCAGTTCCTATGCTCTGGAATGCATTCAGCACCTAGTCGGAACCTGGCTGCACCTATTGACTTCCCAGGCTAGATGGGAGCTTTTCAAGTTCTCTCAGAAGCTGCAGATGGCTGAAGCAGAGCCACATGTCAGCTAAGAATCCCTGAATCACTGACCATTACCAGGTAAGACTGCTTGTTCTTTAAGCCAGAAAGACTTGAGAGAGGGAAATGGGAATTCTGATACTGAAATTAGGAGGCAACAGATTCACATAAGCCGATTCATCAGTTCACTGGCATCAACCCTAGACAGAATCCACCTGAAAGTTGGTTTTCTCAGTGTTGCTAACCAGAGAGTCTAATGCTGAAACGCTTCTTTTTTAAAGAATATTTCTAACTTGCCCTTCTCACTCCACCTTAGTCTTAGAAATAAAAACCAGTGACGATAGCAGAATAAGTTCTAAGATTGGGGTTTGACTATTTATGTTGTTTGCTCTTGGAACTTAAGACATTCTGAACTTAAGTTTAGATGATGAATGTGTAGAAGGCAAGACAAAAAGACTGGCACATCATGACTAATAATACAAAGTACATAACTTCCAGTACATTATTCTTACATGTGAAATTAAAATCATTAATCTCTCTTGAAAATTGTAGTTTACAAACAAACATCAAACTTCTTTCACAAGTTCAGATAAGGTTTTACTTACCCTTCTTGAGGATTTCTTTGCATTCAGGATTAATTGGTGGGGCATTTGGCTTAGACAGAGCATTGGATAGAACTTCCACTATGCACCTTGTTATCTAGAAGAAATAAAATCAGACAAATTCTCATGGTGAAAATAGAAATCCTGCTTTTGACCTCTCAGTGAGTAAAGCTAGTTTAGGATTAAAGCTCATGGTTAATAGTTATCAGCATAGCATACTATTGGGCAGCCCTGAGTTCTACCAATGCTTTTGGGTAAAAAGTGCTCTGCTTCTCACTCATATATTAGTACGAGAATAGTCATTAGCTCTATTTATTCTCCTCTTTTGTATGCAAAGTTAACAGGCTCCTTTTGTATGTTCTGTATGTTAAAACATCCTGTTCTATACAAAGGAGTGTCAAACAACATGTGGTAACCCCAGCAGAAAAAACACCACCACAATAAATCCAAAATATGAGGATCATCCAGTAGGATCTGCCCAAATGAGGACCAAGCAAAGGTGCTGCTAGGGCTGTGGATAAACTAAAGAATGCCTTTATAAGCAAAATGCTCCACAAACTTGTTTCAGGAGTTTACTCTGTGAAAATCAAAGTCTTCTTAGATAGGCATGTGCTTTAAAGCACCATCTCTTTTTGTACTTCACATTTAAACTGGAGAGTCTTCTAAATGTTGAGGAAATGCACTGAAAATGGCACAAACACCTTTAATCCTAACTGCCCTCCAAATTAGCTTTTCTGTGTGAATTCATCCAAAATGGTTTTCAAGTTTGGAGTTGTTGGTTGCAAAGAAGCACTCAGATCCTTGGATCCAAGATGCTCCTTAGGTTGACAACCTGCGTAACTGGATGGGAGGAGACAAGAAAAATATGTGTATAGCTGATTATCTTTTCCCTGCTCCTAGCTATTTACAGCTGTTTACTAATGTAAATAGCCACACTATCAACCAGTGGAGAGGCCCTAAGGTCAGATTAGAAATCCTGATAGTAGCCAGGAGATTTAACCAAACGGGTTAAGAACCTCTTTCCAAGGAACAAGCAAGGACTCTGTTAGAAAGGCCATTACATAACAACTGTAGTCATTTTCTACTATTACGCTTTACTCCTAATCTACCATTTCACTTTGTGCAGTCTGATTATAAGTAATATTTCAGATTATTTTTCAGGCAGCCGCAAAACACAGAGTTTCTGACACAACAAGCCAGCTTCTGTTTTCTACAAATGCACTGAAGGCTAAAGGGACTCTGGGCTTTACATCACTGATGATCTCTTAAGCTTACCTGTAGGAGAAGAAAAACAAACAAACAACAACAACCAAGAAAGAAAAAAAAAAAAGAAAAACATTTCCCTGAGAGCTTAAAAAGAAAACAGGAGCCAGAACACTGGGGAGCATGTGACTGATACTTTTTGAAATTTGCTCTGACTTAAAGCTACTCACCATTTCTTCCATGTGGTCTTTTTCCACTGGAACTGTGCCGACACCTGTAAGAAAAATAAATTATTACAAACTTGTTATTCCTAGCAGGACCATACATATCACTGACAGAAGTAACATTAAGGCTGCTTGAACTTTGGGTTGGTAGGGTAAGTAAACCAGCTGCATTTTATCTTTTCTTCCTCAGAATGGGAAAGCAGTGAAGAGCCTCACCCTAGCAGGAGAGAATCATAGAACAGGTTGGGTTGGAACAGATGCCAAAGGTGATCAGGTTCCAACATCCATGCCACAAGCAGGGCCACCAACATTTTTAGCATTAAAAGAATATAAACAAAAACAAAACAAAACAAAAGACAAAACCAAACCAAAAAGCAACACTCAAAGAATGGAGCCTGACAGTAACGGGTATTCATGTAGATGTACCTGTTTGGTGGTGAAAGAAGAGGAAACAAGGTCTGTTTCCAGATTCCTATTTCACCTTCTGCAGGGGCTTAGTTTGCCCCAGGACCATCTCCCCAGCAAGAGACCACTTCAAATATGAAAAGCAACTACTGCCCTAATCCTTCTGGAACAATACTGTTTCACCCGGATTTTTCCATTCACAAAGTGGTCCATTATAAGCTCAATAAATGAACAGCAAGTCAAATATCAGAGAGGGGGAAACAACAAAAAAAATGCCAGAAAGTAGTGGTACAGCTCCTCCCTACCATAAGGACACTTCAGGTAATTAAGACCTCCCCTTACCACTTCTACTGCTGGTCCAAGGTATATGCCTTTGGAAAGAACCTGCTGTAAACAAAACCTTCAGGCTGCTTTACTTTTGCCATCAGTGCTACATTATCATAGAATCATTAGAGTTGGAAGAGACCTGTAAAGGCCATGTAGTCCAACTCCCCTGCACTAAACAGGAACACCTACAGCCCCATCAGGTTGCTCAGGTCCCCTCCAGCTTGACCATGAATGCCTCCAGGGATGGGGCACCCACCACCTATCTGGGCATCTTGTGCCAGTACATCACCGCTCTCTTTGTAATAAATAAATAAACAAAACATAACAAACTTTTTCCTTATCTCCAGTCTAAATCTCCCTATTTTTAGTTTGAAACTACTTCCTTTCATCCTATCACAAGAGAGCCTGCTAAAGAGTCTGTCCTCTTCTTTTTATCTTATTATGCCTCCAGCTGGTTAATGTGCTTGTCTGTTAGGCATTAATAAACTTTGTCAAGTCTTATCCACCTAAAGATTTGCTGAAGATAAACAACTCTGCCAGCCAGTAGGTAAAAGCAAGAGTTATTGTACCACTGCTTCACAGAGTTACTACATTTATTATAATTGCCATACCTAAACACACAGCTTGGGGTGCAGTTCTGGAGCTTTTACAAGTATCACCTTCTCTTCGGTACTGCTTGAGTAGGATAGTACTGGACCCAATGAACACAAAGATTATGGAGAAAAATAGAAGCCAATTTACCTTACCATAGGCATGTCCAATTCCCAGCCCAGCCCCTTCCCCACATTATCATGGTGGCAGATCTGCCATGCCAAGTAGCTCAGCCCCTCAGCACCAACCAAATATTGGTGCACCATTAACCCCATCTGGGCTGAAACCAGGACACAGGAGTTGGTGCAGCGGCAGCTCAAGCTATGGCAAATAAATTTACAGATTTTGATATGTTGGCTAAATGTAGTCCTGTGAACAGCAAAAAATATGAATCAGTGGAGTTGCTCTGAAAGTAATGCCTCCTGCCTTATTATGTTGCCCCACGATGTCAAAGGCAGATGGTATGGCAGTAGACATGAACCATGCCACCAATATCCGAGCAGATTTTGTTGCCATGTGACAGATGGCAGCAGAGGCGCAGCTCAACACAACAACATCTGACATGGAAGTGTCTGTGAGCAAAGGTCTGAAACTGAATTCCTCAGTGCTGGAAAAATTGCATCTGTTGGCATTCACCAACACTTGCTGAATGTTTCTGGAGACCAAACAGTGGGTGTCAGCACAGTAAAGGACGAGTGACGTGTTTCAGCAGTGGCAACAGTGGGTCACCTCTGCTGGCGCACATTGTTGCAAAGGAAGCATGCAGACTCTTGTTCATCACTAGTAAAAATGCACAGCTAATGATGGTGACTGTACTGAAAAAGAGCGTTCTGTAGCTCAGAATTTGCTCTATTAAATACTGCTATTGTGCTCTTTGCATCTGTTGTAGATTCCATGCACATAATTAGGAGGCACTACTTTTGGAGCAACCTTTGTAGATGCAGCCCTAGAAAATTCCTCTTCACTCAACACAGCTGAGGTGAGCCAAAAGATTGGACGCCCATGCCAGTGTCTGACACTTTCCCCAGGAAGTTTACTGCAAAGGAAAGGAGTGTGCAACTTTAAACTTCTGTAGCAGCAAAACTCTTCTTCTTTTCCATCTGCAGAGGAAGCAGATATCGAACACAGATTCCACTCTGTAGATATTGAGCACTGATTCTGCATAATATCTGAATAGTACGCAAATAGCTCTCTTGATATTCCTACCATCTTCTATTTTTGCTCCCTGAAACACATATGTAAGAATGTGCTTCTCCAGCTCAAGTATACAACTGCAGAAAAGGGAACCCACATGAGGTAGCACAGAAGGGATCTCTCTAAAATAGCACTGCATCCCTAACCAAGCCATCCTCCCAGAACGCCAGGTGGTGCACGGGGGAGATTGGCTATGCAGAGCCAATCCACTCCTCCAGTGTTAGTTGCACTCAGTGCTGAACTAGGCAGGTTTTAGGTTACTTTATTTACTAACCTAGTTATGCAAATAACTACTGCATTACACATTGATGACACTGTTGCAGTCTCACTTGCCTGCATTCTCCATCTGAGCATGAAGAAAAAAGATGAAGCAGCAGAAGGGCAGCAGAGACCCTACTATTAGTAAAAAAAAAAAAAAAAAAAAAAAAAAGTATCTACTAAAATCTATTCTCCACATTTCTTAAAGCTTGGAGACACTGCACTTATGAAAAGCAGAGGGGATGATGTGCCACTCAGCCTCTTCTTGACAAGGCTCCTTGTGTCGTGAGAAATCAGGACATGCACATGGGCAAACACCTGATTTTGTCCTTAGTAGCAGTCCTCCTGTGAGGTGCACTGTCCTGTGGAGTGACAGTGCTGGAACAGACAAGCTTCTGAACGTTGTTTACTATTAGAGATGCCGACTTCAGGCTGCCTCTCATGCACTACGTCAGTGGTATGTGAATATACAGTCAGGCTGTGCTGACTGCCTATCTCTGTCATTTCAAAGTCATCTCTCCAAGGAGATTTACAGTTACATTAATGACCACTAAAGCAAGTGCTTGTTTAATGGTGAAAGCTGACTTGCACAAGGAGCTGCATCAGGCTATTATAACAGTATCAGAAGAAACAATATTGGACATAGATCACATTAGCCTGCACAGGTGGACAAAAAACAGTATCTGATTCATTGTAGGGCCTGGAATAACACTCTGAAGCAGCTGCTTTGCCAGAGCTGAGAGAGGTAGTCCATGGGGAGTCCGCAAACCCCACTTCACACCTGAGCCAGCTGACAAGAGCTCTCCATGGGTCTCCTGCCAGCTGTAGATGGCAGCTAGTACCTTCACCATCCCCTCCACATTTGCCCAGACCGCAGGGCAAAGCTATCAGCCAGCACTACTGACATAGCCTGGTGGCAGTGTACCCATTCACCAAGCTTATGGGGACCTGCAGATGGTACTGCTGTGGAGCTGTGCAGAGGAAACAAAGTTAGGGCACACTGAAAACAAAACCTTTGCCCTGCCCTTACAGACAGCCCCGGATAAGCTTCCGCCTCCTGAACCAAATCTGCCCAGGCAGTTACAATCAGATTAATTCATTTTGCAAAAGTGCCAAAATGAACACCACTGAAGAGGATGAGAAATGCAGACTCTTTACACCTTTGGAAATAACACAGAGCAAATTCACAGAACAAATTCACATGGCTTTTGCTTGCACCTCTACAATCGGGGCAGACCTTTTGGTGGGTCCATGTTAAAATCCTCACATGGATCTTTTCAACAATGCCAGTGACTCAACGCAGTGCCACTGGTTACCAAAATTTCAGGAAGAATCTTTCCTATGGAAAGATCACGGAAACTTCAACATATTGCTTTGGAGAAGGAATACTAGAAAGTTCTTGAAGTTAGTGCTCCACCCATCCTTAGCCCTAAGCTCCTCAGTTCATTGATCCCGGCTGAGATTTCACTCAACAAGAGAGCCAAAAGCCACACAAAGAGGCAACTGCCCCATCCTATTGCGTTTAATTTCAATTTCACGGCTCGGTTTCAATATTTAATGCTGCACGCAAAAAGAAAGAAATAAAAACCCCAAGAGCTGTTAATGAAAGCTGTAGACCTGCTCCTTCAAAGTTGTCTCCCGACGGCACGAATAGGCGGCAGTGCCGGAGTAACGCCGTGCTGAAGTACCACGGCACTCCACCTGCTCTCCCCTCAGCGCTAACGCCCAAGCCTCCCCGGCATCCAGAACGTAAAGAGTCCTCGCCTGGGACCTCGGGCATCTGCTGGTTCTCCTCCGCAGCCCCCGGCTCGCGTCGCTGTGCGGAGCGAACCCCAGCTGCGGGACGCAGGGGGTTGCACAGTCAGAACGCCAGTACTGTCAGTCACCCATCCCCTGTATATGTATTATACATATATATTTCAATAACGTGAACTCCTGCAGGGGCTTTTGACCCTCCTCTCCCACGCGGCGAGGACACCGGACCTCGTCTCTCACAGCTTTCCTCCCCCCCCCCCGCAGGCACCACCCGCGGCCCCGCTCACCTGCCAGGGCGGCGGCCGCCAGGAGGCCGAGCAGCGCCAGCGACCCCATGCTCCGCTTCGCTCGGCTCCGAGCGGCGGTTCGCCGCTATTTAAAAGGGGGAGCGGGGGCGGAGGGCTCCGCCGGGAGCCTGCGTCACCGCGAGCCCCCGGGGCCGGAGGGGGAGGCGCCGCCACCACCTCCACCGCCGCCGCCGCTCTCCCCACAGAGCCGCCACGGCCCCTCCGCCCGCCCC